AATTTACTAGGTACTCTTAAAGAATTCAACAATCGTTTTGTCAATCCAATCAAAATGGTCAACATTCAAATTCTACACCAAGGGATGTGAATGTAATGAAGAAAAGAGCTCATATTTTATATAAAACGCTAGATGGATGTGTTCAGGTAAGCAGTTCTGTGACTACAGTCATTCTTGTCCTACTATATATATATATATATATATATATATATATATATATATATATATATATATATATATATATATATATATATATATATATATATATATAAGATAAACTATGTAGGACATTTCGGGTCAAGAAGTCCCTAAGATCGTGACAGAATGTAAATCTAACTTCTACTAATCGCTATCAGAGGCTGCTTTTCTCTCCTATTTTTAGGATTGCAGGGTGTGGCTAATTAAGATCGGTTAGGGTGATAATACGCTAATATCAAAATCCCTAAACAATATGATAGCAGAAAGAAATTAATCCTACCTTAGGATATTTCGAAATCTTATTAGAATAGTCAGTCACCCGTATAAATACCACCGGTATACACCATCACCTGATTACTTTCATTGAAAAAGCTACATAAGTACACACTTTTAAGCGATTAGAAATGAAACACTTATGAAATAAGGCTATAAAAGAGGTATAGATTTCTGTACAACTGAATGAATGATTCACTCAATCACTGGAACAACATATATATATATATATATATATATATATATATATATATATATATCGAGAGAATGAGAAAGCATATCTTCTCCTTCTACACAGCATAATGATCATTCAGTTAAGCGATTATAGTACACAGAACTGAAGTCAGCAGAACTACTGGTGCTTTCCGTTTCATGCTTACACTGAATTGAACTAGTTAACTGAAGTGACCGAGTAGAAGTGTCTGACAGAATACTACCGAAATACGAGAACACTACTAATACAATGCGACATTTGGACTAGATACGAATAGCGATTGTTCTCCCTCAGACATGACAGTTCACGGAGCCGTGAAAATCAGGAGACAGAGATCGGCCTATTGGCAAGTTACCTGCATGCTCAAACAGATATGCCGTATTGTCCACTGAATTTTATGTTGTTCCAGTGATTGAGTGAATCATTCATTCAGTTGTACAGAAATCTATACCTCTTTTATAGCCTTATTTCATAAGTGTTTCATTTCTAATCGCTTAAAAGTGTGTACTTATGTAGCTTTTTCAATGAAAGTAATCAGGTGATGGTGTATACCGGTGGTATTTATACGGGGTGACTGACTATTCTAATAAGATTTCGAAATATCCTAAGGTAGGATTAATTTCTTTCTGCTATCATATTGTTTAGGGATTTTGATATTAGCGTATTATCACCCTAACCGATCTTAATTAGCCACACCCTGCAATCCTAAAAATAGGAGAGAAAAGCAGCCTCTGATAGCGATTAGTAGAAGTTAGATTTACATTCTGTCACGATCTTAGGGACTTCTTGACCCGAAATGTCCTACATAGTTTTATCTTCTTGGTTATTTATTATCTTATTTCCAGTGACTTAATGTTTTAAGTAAGGGAAGTATCGATGAAGTAATATGCCTTAGGCTGATTCTTAAGAAGTGGCATGCATAGATCTTATCTCATTTATTGCTATTCTTCATACTGTTCGCATCCATTGGCTCCCTAAAACTTCACTTCTCACTGTTGTATACAAAACTAAGCAGGTTTAAAAAATTTGATAGGAATATTTACACTACTCTGAGGTTGTGGTGTTACATAAGTGATAGTAGTTGGTCTGTTGATAGAAATCTGAATCTGACAATGATTGTGCTAACCATGCAGTGTAAAACTGCTCCAAATCCAGTTCACTGTTACAGTAACACACTGACCGACATATACCACACGCAAAGTGTTATCTCAGAAGACAGGTTGTGATTTATATGAATTAAATGGACGGGTTTTCGTGAACAAAAATAGGTTGTAGGACTTTTCTATTTTCCTGTTCACCGCTTAACGGGAAGATACTTGGACAACAGAAAAGAAAACTAGTCAGTCTAGGTGAGGAGTGGTCCTCATGTGATTGATTCGCTTCAGAACAAGTTACCCACCTGTGTTTGTCATGCCTAGTACTGGTAAGAGTAGAAAACTTCTTAGTTTGCTTCATTTAACGGTATTGCTGCAAAAAATGTTTGTTCAAAGATTATTAAATATATAGCGGCTGGTTTGAAACGATGAGCAAATAATGTCGTCTTCGATACCTTGTGGTCAATATTTACTACGATGACGAAATGGAAAACCTAACTACGCTACAGACAGTATTTGGGCGACTTTAAAGGCTACCCTGACAACTGCCAAAGTAACCAATCAGGTTACAGTGTTTTGTCTGAAAAGATAATTTTTCTCAAAATACTGAAAAGTAATTGGTTGTTTCACCAGTTGCTAGAGTGACCTTTAAAGTCACTCCAGTATTGAATTTGAGTCGGCCTTGCATATCCGTTTCCAATACACACTATCAGTGTATATGCTGTCACATCTATAGCTTCTACGTTTGGGCACAGTTTGAGTGGGTTATCGTCCTAACAACCATTGAAATAACCAATTGGACTTTTGTGTTTTATGAAAATCTGGGCAACTTTAATGGCCACCTTAGCAACAGTCGAAATGACTAGTTAAGCTTCTCGATTTCGACTGGAAAGGCAGATTTTCATTATAATACGGAAGTCTAATTGGTGATTTCAGTTGTTGCTGGGGTGGCCTTTAAAGTCGGCGACAGTAACATATGAGAGTGACTTTAAATATCCCTTTGGCAACTGCTAAAATAACCAGTTAGATTTAGGTATTCCGACTGGGAGGTTAGTTCTCCATTAAATAGAGGGAAGTATTGGTTATCTTAACAGTTGTGTATTTAATGGCCACCCTAGCAACTGATGAGAATAACGCACTGTATTTTCTTATTTTATAGAAAAATATCTTCCCAGGCTAAATGCCGAAGCCTGATTGGTCATTTCAGTAGTTGCTAGGGTGGCCTATAAAGTCGCCCTTACTATCAGGCCAGGCATGCATCAACGTGACTAGTATCATTTTTTCGGTGTTCTTTTGTGTGGCTAGTCTACTGCTCTGTATGATAGTGTTTCTCACTTTCAAGGCAAAATATGTGGAAAACGGAGTGACTTTAATGGTCGCCTTAACCACCTCTAAAATGATCGGTGCCTTTAAAGGTTTCTCACTCCAATAGTGAAATCTGATCGATTACTTTGGCAGTTGCTAGAGTTGCCTTTACAGTCAATCCTATATTTTAACTGGAAGGCTAGTTTTTTGTAAAATAAAGAAACATAATTATTGATTATCTTAGAAGTGACTGTGACAGTCTTTAAAGTCACTCCAAACTCGACACTTTCATTTGATAAAAATCTACCTTTCTAGTCGAAATAAAGAAACGTAATTGGTTATTTTAGTTATTGCTAAAGTAACCTTTAAAGTTATTCTATCCAGGTCCTGAAAATTGAGAAATAATCAATGAAATAGTAGTTCAAGTTGTTATTCATCGTAGACTGACATCAGTTGGAGGAACAAAGGAAACCTGGGAGCACTGGACAGCTGTTTCGTCCTAGTATGGGACTCCTCAGCAGTGCGCACCCACGACCCCACCAGTAGGGATCGAACCCACGACCTTCAGGCTCCGCGGCCAGCGCGTTACCATTGAGCCACTGGGTCAGAATCCAATGCTCCATATTTCCAACTTCTGTTAGCTCACGATATAGCGCAAACCGCCACCCAATGTCATCGTTGAGTATTTGTCCTCACGGCCATCAGGCTTTGACTCCACCGGTCACGACTTGTCATTGGAACTTCGGGAATACTTCTCGAAGCTAGTCACCAACGAGCACTAGTTCAATTAAATTTTTAGGGGGTTGTGGAGATTTGGAAATATTTCAAGTTGTTATTCATCGAAGACTAACTATATTAGACACTTGTTGTATAAGTTGTAAAGTAACTAGGTGACTGGCTCAACTGTCGTATATGTGGAAATTGGATTTCGTATTTGTGATACACTTTCATCATATAGTTGTACAGTTTAACTTCACATTATATTCATGAAACTGTATGCTTGTAAAAACGTTTTATATATATATATATGCATTGAATTTATTTTATTATTTCTTTTTGTATACAGCGTAAGGATTATAGTGTACTAACTAAATATCTACCACCTCGATATGAATATGTGATTATGTGTAGATTAACAGAAGTTCAGCAAGATTTATATGCATACTTCTTAGAAAATCTTGATAACCTTGACTCAAATACATCAAAAAATCATGATGAAACTTATCATCGTAAAACATTATTCATGGTTCAACAAACATTATATCGTATATCTACACATCCGCATGCATTACGTATACATGAAACAAAAGAAGCCCGTAAAGTAAGTTTTTTTTTCTTCTATAAATCTATGTAACTAGTACTTTTCACTATCTATCTATTCCAGTACAGTTTATTATTTCTTTAAGTCAATTGTGTTCTCTACTAAAAGTTTGATTATATACCTAAGTATTATAGAAGTGAATCCGTCTATGTATGTAAGAGGATTCCATTAGATATCAATGCTTCAATCTTGAAGAATGTATCGTGGTTATTAGGCTATTCTAGAACATTTTTTTACTAACATTGGTTGGTTACAGACTATAGTTAATGAGATATTTATAAAGAACTACTGTTTAAAGGAGAGATTTGAAGCTAATGAAATACTCCTCAAATTAATACTTGTTAACTTTTCCTGTAGCGAATAGGCTATGCGTAAAGAATCTAACGTGATGTGAGGCCTTCTTAGTATATATCTTGATACAGGTCATTGAGTAGGTGTAAACACAACTTTTCATTTGGCTAGTGAACAGGGTCACTGTAAGTTGTTATGCTTTCTTTACTGAAACAGCAGCAGCAGCAGCTATCCTTCACCTTGAATTTAATTTCAGTGTGGAAAAGAAGTTATTGGTTCATCTTATTCTACCTTGTTGATTTAATGCCTTTCTTTATGACTTAAGGAAGGAAAGTCAGCGGATGAAGTTATGGATTTTCACCATTTGATGATGACTTGGCTGAACCTCGACGTACAGTGTTAGCTGAAGTAGGATTGTGTTGGAGGGAAATCCACGATGGTCAGACCAAGATGTGGCACCAGTCGATGAGTTGTGTAGAGAGGTGTAGTTTACCTGTTTGGAGTCATCGATGCAACAAGAATCAATGACTGCAGACTATTAGTGAAATGACTGAAAAATGGTCATAATGGCGAATATGTATTCATTCACTCGTTGACAGCTTGTAAAGTCCTAGCATTTTCACTAGGCTTAATTTTGCGAAAGTCCTTTTCCCTCCCATACACTTTTGTGTACTTTGATATTGATGTTTATCTACCCGCTTGTTGTCTACGTGGTTCTGTGTAGTGTAGTATGGTAATCTAAACTAATTCACTCCCATGCTAATTACTAAGGTGATTTCATCTGTCTGTTTCTGTGACTTTATCTATTTATGTTTTGTATTATTTCATCTCATTCTTCTCCTTATCGTAATCAAACTTGTGTCATACTGTCATCAGCACAGAAGTGAATAAACTGTCTCAGGGAGATTACTACCAAGGTAAAATAAGAGATTGAATGTATCTTTCATGAACATTAAGAGCAGGTTTGTAGTACTTAAATTACCAGAGTTTCGGCTGTGTTCACATGGTGAATATCCACTCACTTCGAAGTACTAGTCTTCGCTTTATCAATGACTTTGAAAGAAGACTCACATGGAGCACAGTGGTCTGAGATAACCGAATGCTGAAGAATCGAGCTGTTGACAGCTTTACATTGTCCTTTAGATAGCCGTATAGGATGGTGTTCGGAGATGCGTCTGGATAGAACAAGCTATGTGCGGCCTATGTAACCATATCTACAAGAGCAGGTGAATTAGTCAGCACACATAGAGGTAGCGTAAAGCGATAGTTTATCCTTTACATACCTCAAGTCAGTTATTAACTGGAGAAAACAATCCGAAGTTCAGCGGAAAAGAAGCTCTTCTTCGGTGCTTTCCACAGTCGATTCTTCAGTATCTCTGCCAATATATCTCCATCGAATCTAGTATTCATAAACAGCGTTTTCTCTGGAACCGTAGGGGAAAGAAAAGAAATGCAATTCATTCACTATCCAGACGAATTGTAAGAATTAGTACGGATTATGCAGTAATTGAGGAGGTGGAAATTCTTTGAAGAGTGTTAATCACGAATGGTTACTCTTCAAGATTCATTGAGGAGAAAATGAAACTTAATGATTTCTAAGAAGAAGTCCCTACACTTTCAAAGAAGACATTGTTTATGAATCCAACTGACTATAATGATACCGATGACGGCACTAAGATTAACGAAGTATTATTTATGCAGTCGGATGATACTAGTCATACTATTCAATCGATACAAATTATCACTGGGTCTACACATACAACAAATAATATACGTGTAGATAAAGTTAATCATTATAATAATTCAAATGGTATAGATATTACTTTGAAAGAATTTTTACCAAAATATCAGTTGGATGATTTAATAAATAATCAACAAAATAATATACTAGAAGATTCATTGGAGAATTCAACTAGAAAAGTGTTAAATCTATCCCGATTTCATCTTGTCATTGATTTGGAATATTATACAATTCATCGTTTAGGTTGTATTGTCCAACCATGGACATTTCCTGATTATTTTATATCCTCTAACGATCTATTTCGTATTAGTGATATGAAAGAAGAGTATGATAAGAGAATTGAACATTTGAGTGGAACATTTCAACAATTATTGTATAGTATAAAACCATATTTTAATTATCCAAAGAAATATGGAGTAAGTTTTAATTTTGTTTTCTTTTAAATTCAAATAATAATTACTAGTATTATATTACAATGGTTAATACAATTTTGTCTACTAATCCTTCGATAAAACTGTTAGTTCACTTCAAGTTTTGATTTGTCTATACATGAAGAATTGACGATATATTCCTTTCTTGATGGAAATTTAATGCTAAGCAACAAATGTATAGAGAGCAGAATTTAATGAATTCATAGATTTCGATAGAACTTCTCAACTGGTTAGATAGGGCGCATATAGCTTGTTCTATCCAGACGCATCTCCGAACACCATCCTATACGGCTATCCAAAGGACAATGTGAAGCTGTCAACAGCTCGATTCTTGAGTATTCGATTATCTCAGACCACTGTGCTCCATGTGAGTCTTCTTTCAAAGTCATTGATAAAGCGAAGACTAGTACTTCGAAGCGAGTGGATATTCACCATGTGAACACAGCCGAAACTCTGGTAATTTAAGTACTACAAACCTGCTCTTAATGTTCATGAAAGATACATTCAATCTCTTATTTTACCTTGATAGTAATCTCCCTAGGATAGTGTATTCACTTCCATGTTCGCTGAATTGTCATTTATTAAACTTCACTCAAGGTGTCAGCTGAAACTAACCATATTGTTTGCATTCTACATGGTTTTTCATCACCATTTTCACAAAATCACTGTTATTACTCATTTCATAGTTATATCTTCTATTAAAAAGAGATAGTGTTACTCGCCTTGTAATTTCATTAAGGAGGATATTTCATTACTTCTGAGTTTGAACTATATCTACAGCAATACTTATTGTTTGTATGTTCATAATTGTCTATCTTTGCTCTTTTTTCCTCCATTATCATCATGGGTGCATACTGTACACATACATTATTATTTCCGATTGTATAAAATTGATGTGGATAGAAGATAACGAGCAAAATTTCTTATTTTACTGAGTAATATTTTCTTACATTCTCCCCGTCCCCCACTTTTTTCAGATGCTTCTTATGGATAAAGACAGTTTCATTGATGATTCAGAAAATTCATCCGACTCTTCTTCACGTCATTTAGCATCATCAAACAATAGTGATAGTGAAAAAAATATTGCTGATTTAGATGAAGATAGTGAAAATGAAAAACTATTGTCTACAATTGATAATAATAATAATAATAATAATACATAATAAAAACAATGAGAATAGTACAGTTACACGACCACGTCGTGGACATCGTCCTATGACTCGTCAAGAATCAAGAAATTCTACACTTATCATTGATTCAGATAATGATTCTGATAGTGTTACAAGAACAAGTGAAACTCAAAAACCTTGGTGGTATATGTTTTATAAAGATCAATATGATTGGCAAATTGATGTAGGCGCTAAAATGGATGTTCTATTCAATATACTTAAACGTTGCTCAGATATCGGTGATAAAGTGATTATGTTCTCTCATAGTTTAATATCATTAGATTTAGTTGAAAAGTTCTTAGCAGAAATTAATCGTCAATGGTCAGTTTTTCAGGTAAGATATAATAATTTGTTTGTGTAAATATTGTGAATGTTTATCATATCATACATAAATAAAAATGTAAAACTTGTAAAACATTTTTCTAATGCATGTACAATAATGGTCAATCATTTGGTGTATTAATCTTGTTCTCTAGTGTTCTGGAGAACACTACCAACACTTAAGACTTTAAGAGGCAGCTAAATGGCTAGACAAACAGGTTGAGTAAAAGTAGGTTAGAAAATATATATATTCAGATGCATTGAAGAAAGAAATAGAAAAGTGTTGTGTTGAATGATAAGATCTTCAAGATATACTATAAAATGATGGAAGAATCAATGTTTATAGGTGTAATGGCTCGTGAATTGTGTTACGTAATATCTACTATCAACAGTTGTTTGCTGATACTTACAATTTCCGGTTGCTTTACTAGGTGGTTGAACTGCTTGACTTCTGTTGACAGATAGGCTACCACGCGGATGCTTTAATACTGTCTGAAAATTCATTATATTGTAGTGTTCTTCGTGACTAGCAGTGAAATTCAGGATACACGTTTCGTCCTATTTGGCACTCACTAGTCGGCTGGATGTATCTGCACTCCAATGAGTGATTTTGTTCCCAATGGGATTTAATGGGAAACAACATACTCACATGTTGTATACTCTTTATTTCTAGTCATTCGAATATATTTCTTAAATTTTACAGATATCATTTTGAATGATAAGCACCAACAAAGTCCTATGTCCAAATCTAGTACAATAAAGTGAAATTTCCAAAGCTAACTGTGTTTAATGTTGTTCTTTGCATTATCTCGTCGTTGAATGAACCGAATTGATCGGTCTCTATCGGCATATGGGATCCTACGCGGATCCCTCGATATTGCCTGTGTTTTAATGATAGTAATGATGGACAGTGGTTATCAGTGGGCTCAAGGACGCGCGTTTCATCCTGTTTAGGACTCGTTAGCTGGATACAAGCAACAACATTAAAACTATACCCATTGCTATAAGTGTAAAACTTGGGCACTGTGGTCGAGTGTAATTCCATTTTAGTCTGTTTATTAGAAATATCACACAGTGAAACAGTAGCATTTACTGGATAACGTTCCGGACACAATTTATTGCCCATATTCATATCAGGTAATTCCACAACTTCGAGACAATCTTTATATACTCCTAGTTTTCTCTCCTTCTCTGTGATCACAAGGGTAGTAGAATTTTCCATATATCTGGGACAGGTGCAGCATCATTTCGATTGCATGTGTTTGGTGTTGATTCGATAAACGGAGATTCGGTTATCAATTTCTCCCTCCACCCAACTAAGTTAGTTTTCAAAACTGTCACACTATCCACCCTAATGTGTGATTGTGTGTTATCGCATGCAGAGCTTTTCTCTAGATTTCTTATCTTATTAGGATCTACTAATCTTGATCGACCAGGGTCTATAAGAATAACAGAGCACAAAAACTTAGCTAAATCAAGATCAGTAGATCCTAATAAGATGAGAAATCTAGAGAAAAACTCGGCTATTGCTCTGCATGCGATGACACACACACCGTTGCAGAACGGGTTTTATCTATCCATCAGTTCTCATTTAGCCTTGTCAACAGGGCAGGGAATATAATCGGTTATTCTCATAGTTGACGTCCATAGATTGATTGGTTCAACTCTTAGTTGAAATGTTTTTCGGTCTCTAGTTCTTTTAGTAGATATGATTTGTATTCTAGTGTTTTGTTATTGTTTTAGTAAATTTGGAATCATCTGCTGTATTTTAGTGGTATTTGAATCGATTAATGTTGATTTGTAATCATATTCATAAAAGTTATACTTTTTCTTTCCTTCTATTGTACCAATGGGAAATCGTAGACAATGAGTGAGCAAGCAGTAAGCTTGAATTACTCAACGGTTTAGATGCTTCCTTAAGTTGTAGCTCATTGGTTTATGTAGTTGACCATCATCAACAAGTGGGTCATGGGTTCGAATAGCACCCCAACCACTGAGGTCTGACTAACCACGTGCTACATTAACTTTCACACAATATGTGTAGTTCATTGTCTATTGTACACGGTTACTGGGTGGAGATGCCTAACTATCCACTGTTGGGTTATATAAGAGGTGGGAGGGGGATTTTCAATTATTTCTTTTTTGTATAATATTTTGCGCCTCAATTGATCAATGTTGGTTTACAACCCACCCACCCCCCGCCTCACTAGTGCACAAGTCTGCAGTTGACTACTGGATTCAGAGTATGCATGTCTTCTTGTCATTAAGACCAAGGTGTAGAATGGTATATGATCACAAGTCGTAGAAACTGCCATTTTAGCATGATTATATTTTGATGTTCAAACACTCTTTTACTCTTAGTTGTATTGTGTTCTCTGAACTGAGTTGTTTAATCGTGAAGCTTTCATCGTCCTTCTAGGCGACTTCATACTGAAGTTAGTGCTGATGATGTCATCTAGGAGGATGATGAAAGCTTCACGATTAAACTACCCAGCTCAGAGAACGCAATACAACCAAGACCATCCACCTGAGCTACAAATATTCTCCGTTGCTCTTTTATGACACTAATGAGTAGTATAGAAGAATGTTATCTTATTGTTGTAAGTAATGAAGAACCGAAAATTCGTCTGTAACATTTAGATTTGTAGAAATTCAGTTACTGGTTATTCATTTTAAAGAGTGAAAAAAATGTTGATAACGTGATACTGTGTCTATCCTTCTTCCTATAATGATTTTTTCCCCTTATATTTATAGAATCAAACATCAGGTAATACAACAATTAAAAATTTAGAAAATCCAGAAATACTAAATCGTCCAGATTTATCATCATATTTTTCTGATATTGGACATAATACATGGATTCGAGGCTTAGATTATGAACGTATGGATGGTAGTATGAATGTAAATATACGTAAAGATTTACAGGCACGTTTCAATTCTATAAGTAATACACGTTTACGATTATTTATTATATCAACTAAAGCTGGTGGATTGGGAATCAATTTAATTGCTGCCAATCGTCTTATCCTTCTTGATGCATCATGGAATCCAAGTCATGATATTCAATCGATATTTAGAAGTTATCGTTTTGGTCAATGTAAACCAGTTTATATTTATCGACTTATTGCAAAAGGAACAATTGAAGAGAAAATTTATGATAGACAAGTGAGTGTAACACATAATACTGTCAAAGTGTTCAAGTGTTTTATTCTCATATACGTTTTCATTTAGAACAGTAAAATTACTTACTGCATATAAAGTGTTAGTAGTAAATGTTGTATGAAATGTACATATCTAGAGAGAAGAGAATCGACTGTAAGTTTAGTTATAAGCGATAATATATTTTGACAGGTTCGTTGGCGAAAATATCATTAACTTTAGTTTAGAACCATATGTGAACTGTGACCAGTTTAATGATAGAGAGTGAAGTGATGGAATGTGTCGACTACTTCACTTACTTGGAGAGTTGCATCAATCCGAATGGGTTGGTTACTGACGAAATCTCAGCCAGCTTGTGTCTCCTATGGCGCTGACTGGCGAAATATCCAACTATCTATGAAAGGATGAGTATACTGCACTGCAGTCCGTTCTATCCTGTTATACGTTTGTGAGAGATAGGGATTAAAAGTGAAAACGATAACAGGATTTTATTCATAGACATCTTCGTAGTATTGCTTGCATTTGGTGGAATGACCGTGTGAACAATGTTGAGGTCAGGCAAAGAGTACTTTTGCACCTTGGTCGACTGAGGTGGCTTGAACATGTATTGCGCATGCCGTGCCACCACCTACCTTGACGTGCGATGCTAGGGAAAGTTGGATTAAGTTTGAAGAGGGTTGAAAGTGACCAGACAAAGACGTGGTGCCAGTCGATAAAGTCTCTGACTGTTGGTCTGGACCGTGTCGGGAGATGTAGATCGCCGGGCTGTGGTCCATGAAACGATAGAAGGGATCAGTGGTTGAGGACACTTGGTGACATGGCTAGAAGCCGATCACAATGGTGCAGATGTATTCACTCTTCAAAACCTTCTAAAGCTTGGATAATCTCACTAACCTTTATCTTTAGATTGTTTATTCTCTCACACAACTTCGTATACTTTGATATCACTCCTATTCAATCCACCTGTTCTTTGTATACTATTGTGAATTGTGACAACTTGAGCCGATGCACTTGTATGTGAGGTTCTATGTTGATTTTGTTTGTCTGCTTGTCTGACCAGTTGTTACTATAATAAAGCAAAAGGTGTTTGGTTGAACTATTATCATTTATTTCCATCAAACTTGTTTTATACCTAAGAATTGTTTTGTAGAATTTTTCAGTTTAAGAAAAAGTTCATCCATCCGTTTACTTTTTTTACACTCATTGATTGAGTTCACTTTTATACAGGTAGGTGTCTTGTCCATGTTTAAATCAAGTTGTAAAGGAACCTCAAGTAATATGCATTTCTGTTGTTGGTTTGTATTAATTTCCTTCATTCTTTCATAGTTCATTAGTTTGGAATCTTCATCTTTGACTAGTTACAAATTTTGAACGTCTCTCTATCTTCTTAGATTTCAATCAATGGAAAGTTTTCTGAATCAATGTGTTTCATCGACAGAAAAACGTTAACAACATTGGACCCTGATTAATATATATATATATATATATATATATATATATATATATATATATATATATACTGCGTGGTGATTGAACGTGAAGTTAAAATTTGGATCACAGCCGGACTCGAACCAGCGATCACCGGGTTTCCGGCCTGATGCTCTACCAACTGAGCTATGAGGTCCAACTGCTGACCAGATTTTTATTTCACTTCAATCATCAAGCAGTTGGACCTCGTAGCTCGGTTGGTAGAGCATCGGGTCGGAAACCCGGTGGTGACTGGTTCGAATCCAGCTGCGGGCCAAATTTCCATTTCATCTTCAATCATCACCCGGTATAAATACACTAGTCTACCAGACTACAACTGTCTCAGGTAGTCAAAATGATAATACATATGTATTCAGTCCAACGCATCATGTCGATATGATGGAAGTGGGTTAATTAATAAAATTATTAATTAATTCAAGTTTTATTCCTTTGATATAATCTATAGTGATATAGTGTTATTTACTTGATAACTTTTTATAAACCCCCAATCTATTGTTCATAATAATATTAAGGTAGTTATAGAACTTCTCATGCTTCAACGGTAGTTTTACATATCTAAATTGCTTAGGCGTTGATTCGTTGAGTAAAAATTCGTTGGTTGACCTATGCCTTCAGCTTAACTATATTCATCTTTAGAATTTTCACTCCGTCATACCACACGTATTAGTGTGGTACATTGTGGTATTTGAATTCCTCTCCAGACTCCCTTATCCTTTTGAGATATTCTAAATTCATCTTAGTTCCAAATGATTCTTATCAATTGATTGAATCTATATACTTGGTAGTTTGAGTTGTTTTATCTCTAGGGTCGATAGGGCTATAGATCAGTGGTTTAGAGAGATGACTGTCAACCATTGAGTCACGGACTCGAGCCCTGCTTCATCTGCTCAGGTTGGGGGAGGCTAGCTAGTATCACCAGCCGTCATATACTATAGGTTTAGCTCATTGCCTACTGTATGGACGTGCAGAAGGTGGCTGATGGCGTTCAGTTCACTTCATAGGTTCAACAGGATTCTCAAGCTCACAAAGTTCATTTTTAGATTAATATGTACGATGCAACGTCACTTTAATCTCTACCGTATTACGAATTTTATCCAGAGTTTCTGCTGTTTCTTTGCTATACGACATCACTGAAGCCTTTTTAATCTTTCTTAGTTATGTTAGAGTTAATGTTGTTTTCGTATTTCTTTTCTTCAGCTAACGTTGGTTAGAGTTAATCGGTAGGAAGCCCTGGACCTAGGTTTCGTGCTTGTTGGCACTCATCAGCAAGGTATATCAGGCGGAACATCACTTAGGTCCAGAACTTCCTGTTGATTTCCTCCTACCAACTAACATGTATCAGAGTGCACAGTGATGGTGAGCCATCGTAGCTTGGTGGCTACATTGCAAAATGATCGATAAAATTCGGTCAGCATTGACGACTGGACAATATGAGATTAATTGTTCTTCAGTGATCAACCAACAAAATTTTGATTTGCGTAGGATTTCTCATCTGTTATGATAGTCCCATAACACAGAAGATTCCACAAAATCTCTTATCCATCTGTAAATAATTATTAATTTTTAGTTGATACTAAATCTTTTTTAATGTCAATCTTTATAATTGGACGCATGATGAGCTATACATACGTGAAGTATTAAACAGACTTGTAGAATAGACGATAAAACAATAGTTACACTCAAGCTTTCTTGGATTAATAATTGCACTCCAAGAATTTTAGAACCCTATGTTATGAATCGATGAATACGTTTTCGCTTTCTCTACATTGTTAGCATCAACATACTGGTTACTAATTCAAAAAACGGATAAAGGAGCATAACTAAAACTTTTACTTATCTTTGAATAAAATTTCAACTCTACATAAATTCGAGGGAATAGATGTGCGGGATGGGATACCATCAAATAATCGTACCGGTGTACACAATCATAAAGAATAGTGTAAATGAGTTCCTTAGAAGTAGTATTTTGAGAAAAAAATTCGTAAAATGGATGAGAAATAGAAACCTACGAACGACTATTGAGATTTTAGTACAATTGCGTGTATTATACTGTCGTTGATTGGACCGAATTGATCGGTCTCTATTGGGATATAGGATCCTATGCGGATGCCTCGATATTACTTGTGTGCTAATTATAATAATGATGGATAAGTGGCTGTCAATGGAATTCAGGATGCCCATTTCGTCCTATTTGGGACTCGTCAGCTGGATGTACCTGCCTCACAGTGAGTGGTGTTATTCCTACCGGGATTCGGACTCGGACAAGAAGTGAGTATCGTGGTGTAGTGGATAACACTCTGGCGTTTGAAGCGATCTCTCTGAAGTCCGAATCCCGGTGGGAACAACATCCATCATGACTATTAAGGTTATTTGTTGTAGTGTCATGCAAATGTTACACTATAGACTAAGACTATCGTGATGATAAATACTCTTAGGTTTAACTTGCAATGTTGTGAGCTATTTGTTTGAGAAAACAATGGTAATATTTGACTACGTCAGTAGGTGGAGAAGAATTTGAACTTGTAAGCTTACTTAGTCAACCACAGTAGGATTGGATATTGTTGTACTGAAATTATTGGTAGGATAGCATTATAGAACTTTGTTCTTAGAGTACTCAAACATCTTTCCGGAAACTGAGTTAACTAGTTGTTATATTGTTAATTTGCTAATTGTTTTATACCAAAATAGTCTTACTTATTTCATTCAATTTATTCCGTTTCCTAGGTAACTAAACAGTCTTTATCACTTCGAGTGATTGATGAACTACAAATTGGTCGACATTTTTCAGATGCTGATCTACAAGAATTATTTACTTTTGAACCAGATGTATGGAGTCCTGATGGGCAAGATAAACGTCCAACCCCACTACTACCTAAAGATCGTTTACTAGCTGATATGCTTACAGAATATCCACATTTAATTGTCACCTATCATAACCATGATTCATTGTTAGAGCATAGAGAAGATGAAGGGTTAACAGAATCAGAACGTCAAGAGGCATGGAGAGAATTTGAAGAAGAAAAACAATTTGGTATGACACTTGCTCAACATCAACGTATGCTGTTACAACAAGAATGGTTAGCTCAACATCAACAGCAACAACAACAACAACAGCAACTTCAGCTACAATATCTCCAACATCAGCAACAACAATTCCAGTTGCAACGACATCTATTACCGAATTTTATGAATACAAATTTACGCTTTCCAATAGTATCATCACCAAATACTGGACAGACGATTGTTATTAGTGATGATAACAGTGATCTATCATCACCACCCCATATCAACTCCAGTCATGATAACAATAATAATACTGATAGTAATCTTATTTCAGGTGGGATTCATATGTTGTCACCATCTATGTTTACTGCTAACTCTACAATGAATATTTCAAATGTTGGTGTAGATAGTGTTAATAACATCGGTTCTCCTATAGTCAATTTAGCCACCACAGGTTCTATGAACTCCACTGGAAGTGCTACACTTAACAGTAGTGATATTCATGGTCCAATTGGTATGAATCGATCTGGCTTACCACATGTAACCAACGTCAGTAGCAGTAGTAGTAGTCATTCATTGGCAACTTCTACCCAACCATCTCGAGGTCAACAAGCACGTTATGTCACACCACCTGTTACAAATTTACCAAGTTAGTTATTCTTATATACACTCATGTTTTTGCTGATTTGTTTAAGTGATATGCTACAATTTATATTGCATCCATCCAATCAGCTTCTTAGTTAGTGTTATTATTATAGTTATTTATTCGCTGAGCAAATGCTATTCGAACTGTGTTCTACAGCTTGGTGCTGACAACAGAAAACCATTAAACAGTTTTGTCTCTGTGATTGTTATAATTATAACTTCTTTATCTTTCCTGATAGGTGGCATATTGGGAGATTCTTATCTCAGTGGTAATTAGTGTAAAGTTTTAGGGAGAAGAGGTAAATCAGTTGACACGGTCGACTGAGATTGTTGGAAAATGTGTTACCTATGCCTATCCGCCGTCTGCTTCGTCACACAATGTTGACCAAAGTAGTAGGTTCAAGCTGGAAAAAGGCTCGAGGCGGCCATACTAAAACATGGTATCAATGTATAAAGTCTTTGACTGTTGGTTGGAGCCATGTAGGGCGATGCAGACTAAGTGGTTGGGGTCCTCGGGACAAGAGAATCCAGTGGTTGGAGACTCAGAACCGATGTCAGTGGCACAGATGTATACACATATTATCCTCATCTTAACATTATGCCGAATCTCACCATTTTCTCATTCTTCCTCCCTCCCTCTCTCTCTCTCTCTTTAGTACTGTATATTTCTTTCGACTGAATTTTCTTTTCTTCATCTTCCACTTCAATGATTTTTTACTTGATGTACTCATATGGGTTGTGACAACTTGGACCGTTACGCAGTAATCCCTGGTCCTATGTTGATTTGGATGGATGTTTCATTTACGAAAAATGAATGTAATTATTTGAAGCCAACATATAGTTAGTATATAAGTTTAAAGTTAAGTCATTGCATTTTATTGCAATAAAAAATATAACTTCTTGTATCTTTCATGACGTTTTGTCAGCCAATAGTAGTAAAGGGATGAATTGATATGCTATAGGAATGAAATTCAGTTGTCTATCGATTGTTTATTCATAGTTCCAAATCACAACAAAACTAGACATGAGTATGCTTTCCTGTAGTCCCACCCAGGTAGTTTTGATTCAGTTATGTTGAACTCTTTTCTAAGTCACTGGTCTATACATATTATTATTATTTGTCCCTTGGGTTCCTAGTGGAACATAGGGCTTCAGTAGCATGTCTCTAGTGCACTCTGTTCTCTGCAATCTTTTCAACCTAGCACCACGACAGCCCAGAAGCTCTCATTTCTTCTTCACACGATCTCTATATCACCCTCACCTCCGATGCCCAACTCGCCGTTTCCTATTCGGTTCCACTAGAGCAACTGGCCTAGCGCGTGGTGTCCCCAGTCGGCCTTCTCAGTGTATGCCCAATCCATCTCCACTTCCTTCCAATGCATATTTATTGAGCGATAGCTTCTTGGTTGGTTCGTCGCCAGCCAGCCAGAGTTCCTTGTTGCTTATTCTTTCTGGCCATTTGATCTTCAGTAACGAGCCAGTGTAGGCAGTTGTTGATGAATGTCTATAGTTTGTTGGAAATGCTTTTCGTAACGTGCCGAGTCTCTCAACCATCATATAGAAACACTGACTTGACGTTGGTGCTGAAAATCCGAATCTTGTTCACACTTTATGCTGAGTGGAGTGCAGTAGATCTCCACACTGGTTTCAGGTTAATGAACGCCTGTCTTGCTTTTGTGATCCTGGCTGGCTTTGACGTCCTTGTCTGTGCCTGTGCCTGTGCCGCCTGTAGTTGAAACGGTGCTGCCTTGCCTAGGTAGTTGGGAGAGGCTACTTTCTTTAAGTTTCTCCCGTTGATGGTGATTGGAGCTTGTTGTTGTTGTTGTTGTTGTTGTTGTTGTTGTTGGTGGTGGTGGTGGTGGTGGTGGTGGTGTTGGTTAGGTATCTTCATCACCTCTGTCTTCTCTACGTTCACCTGAAGGAAGTCTCGTCTTCGCTGCCCTGCCTCTTTTGTCAACTTGTTGGATTTTGCCTGCAGATCTTCAAGTTTGTGCGACAAGACATTAGACACAAGTCATTGGCGAAATCCAAATCTTCTAGGATGTTTTCGCCGGTCCAGCGTGCGCCCCTGTTCTCGCTGCTCACAGTTTGTTGCGTGATCCAGTTCAATCGGCCACAATCAGGAATACCATGGATGATAGTAGACAGTCTTGTTTTACTCCTGTCTTCACTTCACTTCAAAAGCATCACTGAGCTTCCCATTGTGAATTACTTCATATAGTTGTTGAATGAGGTTTATAAAGGTTTGTGGGACTAAAAGTGTAGTGTTGAAGCAGTTTCCAAATTACTTGTCGGTCGACGCTGTCGATGGTCTTTTCAAAGTCGATAAAGTTGAGGTAGAGAGTTGACTGCCATTTTATACTCTGTTCTATGATGATGCGTAGAGTGGCGTTGCAATTTGGTTCGCACATGATTTGTACTTCCTGAAGCCAGCCAGCCTGTTCTGGTCGTAGTTTTGAATCCAGTGCATCCTTTAGTCTCTCCAGGATGATGCGGCTTAATATTTTGCTTGGTGTTGGATAGGAGCGTAATTCCTCACCAGTTCTTGCAAAGACAAAGTAGCTTTTCTTCCAATCTGCAGGTATCTTTCCTTCCTTCCAGACCTTCTGGAGTAGTGGTGTGAGCATGTCGGCTATTGTCTTTGCATCCGTTCTCTGTGCTTCTGGCGGGATTCCATCTAGCCCTGCTTCTTTCCCGTATTTCAGTATCTTTATGGCATTTAGGACTTCGACTTTCTTCTGAGGGATTGTGTTCATCGGTAGTTCTATGGCTGGACTGCAGGTGATATTTCTGCACGAAGTGCAGGTGGTGGTGGTCGATTCAAGAGATTTTTGAAGTGGTCCGTGCATCGTTTCCTTTGTTTCTTTTCTTTTGTAATTAGATTCCCTTCATCAACTTTTATAGGTTTTATCTATGTTGATCTCTTCCTTCCCAGGTAGTAACCTGGTTATTTGATACAATGTTGTCAGGTCTTTCCTACCAGCCTGCAGCCTGTTCTGCTTTACTTGCCAGCGTTTTGTAGGAGTGTTTTTTGTCTTCGCGCTCACTCTTCTTCACTTCTTTGTCCTGTGTTTTATACGTTATACTCAGTTCTTCTTTTCGTTATGCATCCTTGCATTGGTTCATCTTCTGCTTCACCATCTTTCTCTCCTCTATCAGCTTCCATTTGTCCGTCGAGATCCATTCCTTCTCTTCTTTCTTCTTAATACGGTTGTGCAGGTTTCCTTTCACGTCTCCTTCAAAGAGTTCCAGTTTTCTCTCACGAAGGTTTCTTCAGGTATGTCGCTCAATATCTCCTATTTTGATGGCTGACTGACGTGAAGTTTTTCTTTGTAGTTTCATCCTTCAGTTTCTGGGTGTTGAAGTTGACCCTACTTCTTTGAATGCTGTCAACTTGCTGTTGAAGTTGGTTTCCTTGCACTAGGATAGTGGTCTGAACCTACATGTGCTCCCCTTCTTGATCTTTTGTCAAGTAGGCTGCGTCTCCACTTTCTTGAGATTAAGATGAAGTCGATCTGATTTTTAGTGTGTCCTTCTGGCATGGTCATTAATAAAAGTTACTTTTTCATTCTGACTATTTGAGATAGCCGTGGTTTGGCAGATTAGTGTATTTATACTAGGTAACGATTGAAGGTGAAGTGAAAATTTGGATCACGGCTGGGTTCCAACCAGCGACTATCGGGTTTCCGACCTTATGCGTGCCAAATGAACGACGAGGTCCGGCTGCCGACCAGATTTTTATTTCACTTGAATCACCGAGGTTTTGCCTGACTACCATGTGGATTTGTGACGCGTTACTATCGCTTGATCGTACTCACACTGGTTGCCTAGTCATGACTTCTCATCCTTATCCAAATCTAACTGAATTAAAGAGGGGGAGCACCATATTGATTATAATTTTGACTATCTGAGATAGCTATGGTTTGGTGATTGGAGTGAAATAGAAATCCGGTGAGCAGTCAGACCTCATAGCTCAGTTGGTAGAGCATCGGGTCGGAAACCCGGTGATTGCTGGTTTCTGATACTGCCGCAGGCCAAATTTTCATTTCACCTTCAATCATCACTCAGTATAAAAGTTACTTTTTATAATTCTGTAAAGTTGAGAGAAATAAAAGTTTCTGATCACTTTATAATGAACATAAATCAATAAGGTAATCTAGGGTTTGTTCAGTGAGTTTCTGAGGTCACTGTGAGAAGACTTTCAGTTCGAATCCAGAACGCATTGATTATAAGTTACCAATTCATGTAATATTGGTTCTCCAAGTTTTGGTAGTAATTTCAATATACCTCGTCAGACTGAACAGGTTGGATTGATTCATTAGGATGTACACTAACCTGTGATTTTTCAGTAAGTTTGTAACGACCAGTTGTTGATACGTTTTCGTCTAGTCTGTAGGTAAGTACGTTGTTACAGGGGGAAGGCGGGCGCAGGTCAGTATGAGTTTAGTGGTGGTTACGAGGATTTGGAAGGGAAAAGAAAAAGCGAAAAAGTCTTGAGCCGACGACTTATCAAGTATATAGGATGTAGTTACATTTAATAGTAAAAGATAACTGAAAAACGGTAGAGATTGACAACGAAGAGGTGAGGCAATCTAGAATTTGAAAGTGGGTAGGTGAATGAGTAAGATTTCGGATAAGTTACACTACTCTCCATTTTTTGATGGGAGTATTCTTAGTGCTTGGTTATACCTGAGTGAATTAGAAGCTAGGTATGGTGTGTGAAGCTGATGCGAGTTACATTCGAGTGGATGGCTTTTGTTAAATACACTTTGGTCTGACCATGAGCGAGCCGGATCCAACCTCTGATACCAAAATATAACGACCAGATGTTGATAGATTTTTCTCTAGCCTGTACGTAAGTAGGTAGGTAGGTACGTTGTTGACAAGGGAGCGCGTAAAGGAGTATGAATTTAGTGGTGACTACATGGAAGAGAAAAAACGTGAGTCGATAATTCAACAAGTAAAAGTTGTTTCTCATGCCTAATTTATATGACATGTTGATATACCGCAGAAATTCTACTTTCCTGTATGTTTACTGTAATAATACGTTAAATTGAAGTGTTATTTCCTTCAAAGAGTTCATGTATACATCTTATCATCGATATATAATCATCTCATTTTCTCTCTGTTTCTCTTTTATTCCTCTGTTGAAGGTAATGCTTATGGTGAAATGTATGCACAAGTTCGTCAACGTGTTATGCTTAAAGATCCTAGTTTAGCTTCAAATCCTGAAAAACTTGATAAATTAACAATGAATCGATTATTGAGTGCATTAACCACTCCAGTGTTAATTAACTCTGATGATATACGTAATCAAAAGTATATTTTCAATAAGAAATAAAACATCACAAGCTCATCCTTAGTTTAAAAATTGATTTTCATTATTATTATTATTATTATTATTATTATTATTATTACATTGGATAAATTGTATTCTCTTGTTTCGATTTCTTTTTTTTTTTGTGTCTTTACTATCTTGAATATTGAAGCCCCCAAAAGACAACTTCAAAATTTTTTTCAATAAAAAATCTTCAGTATACCTTTTAGATGGATTAATAATTTTTAAATGGTGCATTTAGTTTTTAATATTATTCCTTCATGTGTGAAGGGAAACTCATTTTTCTTTCTCTTCTCCCACTTTTACCACTTTATTGTTGTATACTTTTTTGTTATATTCACTAAAATTATTGGAAGAGGTAAAATAAACGACTATTCACTGCTATATATATATATATATATATATATATATATATATATATATATATCTGATGTTTTAAATGCAAAAAAATATGTAGGTACTGTTTTCAACTTCAACTTTAGTACACTAACTAGTAACTAACACCAGTTGAGAGTTCCAAGAAGTTCGATATCACAAAATAATCAAAAAAGTGATAATTTATTCATGTTCTATGTACAGTCATTCACAATTTCATCACTTTTTAATGCTAAATCATTTTCTTTTGATTTATCTGCTCATATGCACACATATATATACACATATACACGTATCATGTAACAGCATTACTACTTCTTATAAATTTGTATTTTTTATTACTGTATTATGCTTATTGATGATGGCATTCAGAGAACTCTGCGTATATTTCGATATATTCATCATCATCTTGTTTGAAATAGTGTAATCGTCTGGTTTCCATATATATATATATATATATATATATTGATTCACACTGAATATTTTTGTTTGTTTGTTCGATTTAACGGAATATCTTTTCAAGGTCAAAAGTAGTTAATAAGACTGATTCTAGACAAAAGAAAGTATTGTGTATATATTCGTGTTTATGTTTATTTGATTGTTTACTTTATTACTAATCCAAATAAAAACTATATTACAAGACCAAAAAAGCAATTTTTGATGTCGAAGTGCTAAGAAAGAGAGAATTAATCTTTTGATCCAAGACTGTCTAATTGTCAACAATGAATAGCGCGCACAAACATATAGCATTACTTTATATGTCTCATGTTGTACTGAAGGACACTTGATTATTATTTTATCCCTTTAAAAAGTCATACAGACACACACACACACACACGTGTATCTCTATGCAGCCGTTTGTTTAAAATCCTCTATCTCACTTGTATGAGAAGTGTAAAATAGAAGATGAAGGTGGGGGAAGTTGTCATTGTTGCAAATTTCACATTGTACCCACTTTCTATGTGTACGCGGCTTTGATTTATTCTTATCTTTTTCGCCGGACGCTAATTTTTGTCTGTCAATAAATTTTTAAAAAAATTTATTTTTGTTTTGCTAAGTATACACATTGTTATTTATTATTATTATTATTATTACTCCTTTGGATTCCCAATGGAACATAGGGCTTCAGTAGCACGTCTCCAGTGAACTCTGTTCTCTGAGATCTTTTGAACCTGGCTCCACGACAGCCCAGAAAATCCCTTTCGTAACGCGCCAAGTCTCTGAACCATACAGAATCACTGACTTGACGTTGGTGTTGAAAATCCGGATCTTGTTCTGTATGCTGAGTGCAGAAGATCTCCACACTGGTTTCAGGCTAATAAACGCCTGTCTTCCTTTTCCGATTCTGACTTTGACATCCTCGTCTGTGCCTGTGCCGCCTGTAGTTGAAACAGTGCTTCCTAGATAGGTGAAGGAGGTTACTTCCTTTAAGTTCCTCCCGTTGATGGTGACTGGAGTTTGTTGTTGTTGTTGGAGTTGTTGGTGCGGTATCTTCATCACCTCTGTCTTCTCTATATTCACTTGAAGTCCCGTCTTCGCTGCCTCACCTCTTCTGCCAACTTGTTAGTTTTCACCTGTAGATCTTCAATTGTATGTGACATCAGGCACAAGTCATCACTGGCGAAATCCAGATCTTCTAGGTTCTTTTCCGTAGTCCAGTGTATCCCCCTCTTCTCGCTTCCCACTGTTTGTTGCATAATCCAGTCGACCACAATGAGGAATATCATGGGGGATAGTAGGCAACCTTGTTTCACTTCTGTCTTCACTTCAAAAGCATCACTGAGCTGTCCATTGTGAATTACTTGGCATGTGGCATCTTCATATAGCTGTTGAATGAGGCTGATAAAGGTTTATGGTATTCCGTAGTATTGAAGTAGTTTCCAAATTACCTCTCGGTCGACGCTGTCAAAGGCCTTCTCAAAGTCAATAAAGTTGAGTTGTAGAGTTGACTGCCATTCTATACTCTGTTCTATGATGATGCGTAGAGTGGCGTTGCAATTTGGTTCGCACATGATTTGTACTTCCTGAAGCCTGCCTGTTCCAGTGTTTCAGTGCATTTTTTAGCCTATCCAGGATGATGCGGCTCAATATTTAGCTTGCTTTGGGTGGACAGGAGAGTGATTCCGCGCCAGTTCTTGCAAACACTGAGGTCACCCTTCTTCGGGAGTTTGACAAGGTAACCCTTCTTCCAATCAATGGCCAGGTACCTTCTCTTCCTTCCACACCTTCTGCAATAGTTGTGTGAGCATGTCCGCTGTTGTCTGCGTCTGTTCTCAGTGCTTCTGGCGGGATCCCATCTGGTCCTGTTTCTTTCCCACATTTCAGTAGCTTTATGGCGTTCAGGACATCCATTTTTGTTGAAGGATTTATGTTCACTTGTAGTTCAGTGGCTCGGCTGTAGGTGGTATTTCTGGACGAAGTGCAGGTGGTGGTGGTGGTCGATTCAAGAGATTTTCGAAGTGGTCAGCCCATCGTTTCCTTTGTTTCTCTTTTGTAATTAAATTTCCGTCATCATCTTTTATTGGTTTCATCTGTGTTGATCTCTTCCCTAGATGGTAGTAACCTGGTTATTTGATACAATGTTGTCAGGTCTGTCTTACCTGCAGCCTGTTCTGCTTCACTTGCCAGTGTTTCGTAGAAGTGTCTTTTGTCTTTGCGTGCACTCTTCTTCACTTCTTTGTCCAGTGTAGTGTTTTATACATTGTGCTCAGTTCCTCTTGTCGTTGAGCATCCTTGCACTGGTTTATCTTCTGTTTCACCATCCTCCTCTCCTCCATCAGCTTTTATGTATCCATCGAGATCCATTCCTTGTCTCATCTCTTCTTCTTCCTTCCTAATACTGTTGTGCAGGTTTCTTTCCACATAGCCTTCAAAGACTTCCAGTGTTCTTCCATACAGGTTTCTTCAGGGATGTTGCTTGATATCTCCCATTTTGTCTTGATGGCTGACTGACGTGAAGATCTCGTTTGTAGTTTCATCTTTCAGTTTCCGAGTGTTGTACTTGAATTGATATCTATCACCAGCTTCCTCGAAGGCTTTTAACTTGATTTGGAAGGTTGCTTGCACTAGATAGTGAGTGGTGTGAACCTACATCTGCTCCTCTTCTTGATCTGAACTTGTGTTCAGTAGACTGCGTCTCCATCTTCTTGAGATTGAGATAAAGTCGATTTGATTTTTAGTGTATCCTTGTGTCTGGTGAAATCAAATCCATGTCACTCGCTTTGTGGATATCCTTGTGCTTGAACACACTGCCTGACTCCAATCACCAAATCGTTGAATGCACAGAATTCTGCAAACAGTTATCCATTCTCGTTCATCACCTCACCGAGCGCTTCTCGACCCATGGTTAGTTCTCTTCCTGTGTTGTCAACTCCCAGTTTGGCATTCATGTCGCCCCACCCATTAGAATTTTGATATCGCCAACTGAGATGGGGTCTTGTCCATTGTTGATTGAAGTTGTCTGTAGAATTCCTCCTTTTTCTCTTCATCTGCATTATTTGTAGGTGCATAGCCAGGCATTGTATGATTGTGACCTTCCTTCCTTTTGAGTTGAATCTTGCTGTCATGATCCTCATCCTGCAGGAAGAGATTGGTTCCCACTGTATGAGAGCCTTCGATGCTGATGGGGACATCATGATGGCCACTCCACAACTCAGTGTGCTCGTGGTTCTCGTCTGGGTGACAATGTCGGAGTAGATTATTGATTCTCTAATTGACAGTTTGGAGAGTCCACTTCCATTCCATCTGGTTTTGCAAATTCCAAGCACTTCAATGTGATATCTTCTCATCTCGTTTGCAATCTGTGCTGCCTTGCTGGGTTCAGACATTGTGCGGACATTCCATGTCCCCAAGTTTACTTTCGCTTTCACCGAGGGAGCGAAGACACATCGGCCAATTGGCTTCCCAGAGGCTTTCACCAACTGGCGTCATTTCGCCTCTCCGATTCGAGCGAGGAATAATTTTGTTTTTATTTTTTATATTTTGTCTGTGCTTTGAAGTTTGTTTAGCGGTTAGATTTGTTTTACGGGGTAGGGTTGCTATCCCTATGCCGAACCTTCCCTCTTTACCCGGGCTTCGGACCGGCTAGTAACTAGTGAACTAGGAGTGTCTACAAATGCCTTCCTTACATCTTTAAGTTGATGAGAAGAATTTGAGTTGCCGTCAGGATTTTTAAACTATTTTACTTTCTGGTTTACATAAAAATATGCGGTAATGTATTCTTTTCCAACATATTCGGTGAAAGTAGTTTTCATGAAATGTAGTCAAATTTAATGAGTATATTACTGAGCGTGTATCTATTTACGTTCCTTCATCATATATAGTTGTTGCATCAGCTTACAGTCTGGTAACATTTATGGAGTAATATAATTTGATATTATTCCCGATTACTCACTATGATTTATCGAATCAGAACATTGATTGATTGATCACGGGAGTGCAACCAATTTCATGTTATCTAGTCATGAGTGCAGATCGAATTCTATCGCTCATATTTGCAATGTGCCAACCAAACTATGAAGCTCAGCATCGCGGTGCACATTAGTAGATGTTAGTTGGTTGGAGGCAGTCGGCAGGAAACCCTGCCTGCCGATTGCCTCCAACCAACTAAAATCAGAACATTTTTGAGA